GATGGCCCTTGTGGTCTCTTTCAACTCTATGATTCTATGATTCTACTACCTTTTATCTTGCTGGTACAATTGACTGAGAAGCCCTTGGCTGTTGGCCATTTCTGAGGTGACCACTTTGACAGAGCCATTCATTGTTCACTCCAGATGTCATGCTAAATCAGAAGTTGAGAGCCAGCGTGGCCTAGTGGTTTGAGCGTTAGACTAGGACCCTGAAGACCAGGCTTTGAATCCCTGTTTGACCATGAAAGCCACTGGGTGACCTTGGGCAAGTCACACACTCTCAGCCTCAGAGGAAGGCAAGGGAAAACACCCTCTGAACAAATTCTACCAAGAAAATCCAGTGATATATTTGCCTTAGCGTCTCCATAAGTTAGGAATAACTTGAAGCACACAATAGCAACAACCAGTGTGTTGCTGGGAATGTAGAAGGGAATGCAGTTTAAACTTGAAGTCAAGAAACAGCTGCTGCTTCAATGTCTTACTTTCTCTCTTTGTAATTTTAGCTCTTGAGCTAAAATGACAGCTGAGCCATATTGTAGGGGGTAGCTGTGCATAACTAGAAATAACTGAGCAAAATTGTCAATGGAGATACTTATTTATCTACCTCCACTCCATTTTTCTCCAGGCATGGGACCTGAAGCAGCTTACAATAATTTAAAACAAACTCCAGCTCAATTCTTATTTTACAAATCAATTAAACAATTAAATTGTGTTTAAAAAGCACACGGTCAAGAACAACTTAAACAAAATTTAAAAGATTAAAGCGGAGTGTGCCACTTTCAGGACACAATTCAAGGATCAAAAGCCAACTTAAATAACAAGTCATAATGATCTTATGCAAAAAGTTTGGGAATCAAGGTTCTCCCGATATGGCACTCTTCCCTCATTGGCTTTGCTGGCCAGGGGCTGATGGGACTTGCAGTCCAACAACAACATCTGGAGGGCCGCATGGTACACTGTGGAGTAAAGGTTTGTAACAAGTGTTGTGTGCTTGCTTTCTCCTTTCAGTTATTGTTTATAATCTGATGCCTTGTTGGGTAGAAAAGGAGGCTGTGCCTGTTCTCTGAAGGAAACATTCACTCCCACATTTTTGTTTTTCAAATAGGTACACAGCAAAAACTGTCCCATTCCCAGAATGATCCGAACGTGAGTTTCACCCGCAGCGGCCGGTGTGTTAAGCCACCCATGCAGTACTGGTGTGGCGAACGGATTCTTGTTGATCAAGGGTTTAATGTCACAGTGACCAAAGGGGGCATCAACTACTTGGCACCTGTAAGATTTATTTTTCTATCTCTCTGTTTGTTCAGCATTGATCTGGGATGGGTGGAATTGGCAGAAGTCCTCAACAGGTTCCCGAAGGCACTTTTGGGGCGGATGGCAGTGAACAAGCCGAAACTATAATCCTGATTAAGAGGCAGGTCCTGCAGGCTGAGAAAATCCAGTGATCAGGAAAGATTTGGGTAGCCTGTCCCCTTGGAAAGCCTGGGCTCCACTCCCGCCATGCTTTTGGAGAAGCCAGTGAAATGTCCAAGGATGCCTTCTACTGGCTGGCTCCCTTCCCAGGCTGTGACCCTCTAGGGAAAGCTAGACCTCATCTCTGTGGCATAAGCTCTGGCTGGGTTATGTCCAGGGAGGATTGTTGTAATGCAGGGGTGGGAAAGGTGATGCCTGGGGACCACCTGTGGCCCCTGGGGACCCCTACAGACCCAGAGCCCTCCAGATTTTTAAACTTATTCCTCTTTAAATGGCTGAAGAATGGGTAAAACACACCTATACAGTCAGCCCTCCATATCCAAGGATTCTTTATCCATGGATTCAACCATCCATGGCTTGAAAATATTCAATAGACAGTGGGCCTTTGGTATCTGCTGTGGTTTGGTTCAGGATCCCCCTGTGGATACCAAAATCCGTGGATGCTCAAGCCCCATTAAATACAGTGACAGAGTAAGATGGTGTCCCTTATATAAAATGGTAAAATCAAGGTTTGCTTTTTGGAATTTATACTTTTTTAATATTTTCAAGCCATGGAGGCTTGAATCTATGAATAAAAAATCCGTGGTTATGGAGGGCCGACTGTATTGGTATGGCAAAATCAAAGTTTGCTTTGTGAAATGTGTATGTGTGTATATATACACACATTCCAGAAAGCAAACCTTGATTTTGCCATGTCATTTTATATCAGGGACACCATTTTACTGTCATTGTATATAATGGGACTTGAGCATCCACAGGTTTTCGTATCCATGGGGTTCTGGAACCAAACCCCAGCAGATACCCAGCACTGTATAAGTGTGCTGATTTGGCTCTCCTTCCTCCCCAAAACATGGAAATCAGCCATTTTTGCATTTGCAGTGGTATTTTACTGTATGATTTACTTGTGGCACGTGGCTTCAGAAATTCTTTTCATACAGGCCAAAGAGCAACATGGTCTCCATGGCGTTGTTCTAATTGCTTATGTTAATTGCCCTGTTTCTCAAGAAAGTGAGCAGCGCACGGCCGCAGGCCAGGGAAAGATTCAGGTCCCCAAAGGAAAATGGAGTGGTTAACCTGAAGGTGAACAAAGAAGTACCTCCAAGTCAAGCTAAAGGTAAAAACAGTTAACACGCAAAGTTACTTTTTTCTTTATGCTGGTAGCTTCTAAATTGTGAGCCATGAGAGGTCAAAACAGCGGGTGGCTTTGAGGATTCCCTGGAGGAATATGCGATCGAGCAGGAGTTTTCTCTTCACTCAGGGCTTGATTGCCCTGATGGTTGCAGTGGTTAAATGCCTGTACTGCAGCCATTCACTGACAAACCACAAGGTTGTGAGTTCAATCCCAGCCAGGGGCTCATGGTCGACTCAGCCTGGTGGCCTTCCAAGGTCGCTAAAATGAGAACCCAGCTTGAGGAGGGTAATTAGCTTAGAAAGAAATGCTTCTAAGGTCAGGTTAGTTAAAGAACAAGAAGTGTTGGTGGACATCTATGCGTTAAGTCTGGATGTGTTACGGCGTTGATTCTGGCGAGTTGACTTGGACTGAGTTAGGGTACCACTTAGCACCCATGGCTTTGTCCTGGCCTCAGCTCTTCTGTTTTGAGAAGAGATGCAGCAGGGCCTTGCGATTCATTTGTCAGAGGATTGGCAGCATGTGCCCATAAAAATTTATGAACCGACGTAAGTGTAATCCACTCTGTACACTCAGGTCCTCTGGCAGACATTTACTCCAGTCATAGAATCATGGTTGGAAGGGATCTTCAAAGGCTATCCAATCCAACGCCCTTATGCCATACAGGAATACACCATCCAAGGCCTCCCTGAGACATGTGGCCATCCAGCCTCTGTTTAAAAACCTCCAAAGAAGGAGACTCCACCACATTCCAAGGCAGCAACATCTTTCACTGTTGAACGATTCTTACTGTGAGGACATTTTTCCTAATGTTGAGGTGGAACCTCTTTTCCTGTAGTTTGCATCCGTTGCAGCCAGTACTAGGCTGGTAACTGTCAGCCAGAGGACTTTTTCTTCAGCTGCCCCAAAACTGTGGAATGACCTGCCGGAAGAGATTAGATACCTGAATACACTGTCTGCATTAAAAAGAGCATGGAAGACCAGTCTCTTCTGGCATGCTTATTCTGATGATTTTTAAATTGCGAATTTTAAATGATGAATTTTAGGTGTGGATTGTTTCAATATTTATACATTTTATTTGTCCTTTTAAATTGCTGTGTTTTTTAACTGATGTGTTTTGGCTGATGTTTGTTAATGGTTGTTGTCCCCAGCCTCGATCCATGGGGAGAGGCAGGTACAAAGTAGTAATAGTAGTAATAATAGTAATAATGTAAAGTAATAGAAGAAGGCTAACTGAACTCTTAGGGACATTGAACATCCTGTTCTTGGCTCACCTTTGTCAATGTTCTGCCCGCTGCAAATCTGTCTCACTTCTGAAGAGAGACACTGCTGCAAGGGTAAACTACAAGCTCAGATTTACAGTGTGAGAGCCTGGATTAAGCCTATGATTATACAGGTGTGTAAGCAATGTCTTGTCTTCTGCCCATTCCCAGAAAGAACTGCCAGAAAAGCTGAGAGGGTCACCAGAGAACCTGAGAATGGATATCAGAGTTTGCAACATTTTGTTTCTGATTCTGAGGAAAGTGACCCTGAACTGGTCATTGCTGAAATCTGCAAAAGACAGGCTGTAGTTACACTGACACCACTGAACCACAAGCACTTGCATGAAAAGAACTTTAGATACAGCAGCCAGCCAGGACAAAAGCAGAACGTGCCACAGCAGAGCAGAGAAACAAATGGGTGCAAAACAAGCTGCATGGAGGGCAAGGCAGCCGCTTCCAAGGACCCAAAACAAGTCCACTCTCAGCAGCCAACGGAGGTGAGCATCCCTGGCACAAGTGGAGATGAATCTGATGATGATATCCCACGCATCAAGAGGAAGACCCAGCCTCCTTTCAAAAGAGAGGCTTGCAGGAGGGAGCAAAGGGATGCGAGGAAGCAGTCCTCGCAAGCGGTCAAAGCAACGGTGAATTCTGCAGCCCTTTCTTCTCAGAGCAGAACGATGGTGGTTGCTCACCTTGGCCAGGATGGCAGGTTGGAGCCGCTACCAGGAGAGAAGTCCCCTCCTGATTGGGCTGGAGGCCCTGCTGGGCATGAGGAGAGGAACAGGAAGGGGTCATGCCAGGGGATCCCAAAGGCCACAGGACGTGTCCTGGAGACCGAGTCAGAAAGTGAAGCCAGCATTGGGGAGCGCCTGCCAAAAAAAGGAAGGAAGGAAGTGGCAGCGGTAAAAGCCAACGGCCAGGCTGCCAGCCGGGCAGAATCTGTGACTGGGGCTGGCAGGGCGCCTGGCAAGCGGCAATGGTGGTCCATCAGGAATTCCCTGGCAGATGTGAATGAGGAGTGGAGCAACAAGGAAGTGGAAAAACTGCACAGGCAAGTCTGGGTTTGTGATCGGGTTCAGCCAGTGCTGGGGGATGGAGGGTCTGTGCAGGTCCTTTTAGAGGGCTTCCCCCCATTTAATCTTTATTAGTTAGGATGTCTGTCGCAAAGCTTATCTTTCTCTCCCTCCCAGCAGACTTCTAAATGACCCTTCTGATTCCTGCAGCCACCTCCCCACCCTTCCTTGCAAAACTCCCTGACATCTGATCCTTTCTTTCCTGAGCCACATAGACCAGGGGTGGACAACTGTGGGAGGCCGGGGGGTGGCATTAACCCATGTAGAAGAAGAAGAAGAATTACAGTTAGCCCTCCACATT